GTTTTATCAAATCAGCCTCAGCTTAATGAGAACGACGAACGCCTTAGAAGTAAAGGGTCCTCGGCGACGTCATTTTCGATCGATTGTGTTAATGGGCGGGGCAAAATTGAGCTCAACTATACAACAGCATTATTGCAGTTACAGGACTCTCGCTGAAGTAGATTTAACACACAAAAATACTTCGAACAATCAAACTAAGATGAAAACCGAATTTTTCTTTCCGTCGCTGATAAATCTTTTTGGGAGAAAATAAATGTATCATATGCATGGATTATAGTTCAAGTGTCAAATTTAAACTTACGTAGAGGGTCTTAGTTTAAGAGTTAATGAATATCGTTAGAATATTTAAATAAACGTATCTTTCTCTTTATGAGGGATATAATAGACAAAACCTTTTAGGAGTGGAGAAAACAAAGCTACTTAATCAAAGTCAACAACAGCGCGGTTATTCGACATAAGCATTTCGTAATAAATTGCAGGCAGATGTAAAGTAAAGTATTCTTTGGATTGTTTACGGTTTTTGCAATCAATTCCTCCGAAAGTCGGTTCCTCTCTATTCGATAAATTCAACGTCCTTTGACGTCAAGGACTTTGTTATCAGAGACAAGTTTTCTAATCTATTTCATAGATAATTTTAGAACAAAGTAACAAATATGCAAACAGTTTATCTAACATGATTGGTTTGAATATGAGGCCAAATCAAACTATTTCCGAGTTCGCGAGACATAAAAGCCATCGTAACACATTTATATTCATTGTATTGCAAAGAGCCCCTTATCATCTAACATTTAGACTCCGTCTCTATAAAAACGGGGTAAACATTGCTCGTAAGGGTAGGCGACAATCTTTGGTCTTTATTATTTTCACAGAAAACGCAACCAGGAGTTTTCGTTAATATTAGTTATTAAACTTGACTTTAGCGAAGTAATGAAGCGGAAATTGTGTCAAGGTCTTCGTGAAAAAAAATTAAAACTTTTCTTATTGTTTGTTTATTCACGGGCGCACAGTCGTGCCGCGGCCAACAATGCCGTATTGTGCATTTGCGCACCCATTCAGTGGGACCCTAGGAGACCTTTAGGAATGTCTTAACTTACGAGCTGTTTTGCACTTTTACAATCCGAAAAAATTAACTTTGAAAAGTTGATTAAATCTCACACAGCTTCACACGTACACGACTAAATTATTTCATCTAAATATATTGTACGAATCAATTTCAGCATAGGATGTTGTACTTCAAGACGTGAGCGTTAGGGTTGAAATTAGATTGCGGAAGTGGTTATATCTGTGGTTGCAGGTTCAAATCCCGCCTTTGTAACAATGTTTCTTTCGTATCATCGTAAAGAACGACCGGATATTATGAAAGTACAAAAATCGTAAAAAGTACAGTCGGAAGTATGGTTTTCAATATTTTCAGGTTAAATGATTGTGTAAGCTTCTACTTCGCAACACTGCGCCATCCCCGGGGAGTGACTTCATCCACTCAGAAATAGGAAATGAAACAGTTTCGTGATTACTTTCATCCATCAAGTACGCAGCTCGTGGTATAAAAGTAGATTGAGAGTAATATTGTCCAACTTTTGGTCGGCCAGACTGTCTTTACGATGATGTTGGGCTAATTTTGAACACGGCCGACCGCGAGAAGGGTTAGGAATGAATTGCATAATATTCAATATAAAAATTGTTTTCGCGCTCGTGTGTCTGACGAACGAGGCTAATGTTTAATGCTACATTTGTTTTGTAGGTCACGTAGGGAGACGAGAGATGCCCACGAGGGTATGGTTAAGCGTATGGAATTGTCGCAAAGCGTATGACGCGGGCGAATCAAACATTTGGATGAGGACTCTTAAAGAGCACCTTGAAGGACGCGAGCCAATAACTCTCTTTCTATAGTTATCGGGCGTGTTTGTGATAAACTAATTCACGTGGATCGAGGCATCTTTTCTTTAAATTAAAAAATATGAGGTCCCTTTCTCTTTGCCTATTCGATAGTTCGTGATGAGCATCAAGCTGGAAGCAGAGAATCATTTTAGACTAATCGATCTTAACGCTATAGCTTGAAGCATTATAAACCGTGTCGAGCTAAGGCGACGTCCGAATGCGGTGTTCGACGCGTCCGACGTTTAATGATAACGATGTCAGAGACCTGCGCCTGACGTGAATTACAGATATCTATTATCGTATCCGACTATATTGCTCCGATGCAAGGTGAATACTACTATTCGCATATAATAGGATAGACAGTAGGTCAGAAGAGCTTATAGATATAACTAGAGGGATTTCTAAGGCGCCTTATTGTTAAGCGAAGCCTTCGTTCGTGTTCCCTAACGAGAAAAGATCGGGCCATTACAAAGATTGCAAAATTAAAAAGCGCAGACGATTTTAATTAAAGTTAACGCCGCCCATTAGTTACATCGTAGGACTCGAGATAAAGAGCAGTTTTATCCCCGAGATCTCATTCGGAAGCCGGGACCGTCCCCGGTCGCGTCGAGCGCCTGATGCCTCGCACTCGACTGCCTTTCATTTATAAATAAGCGTTCATCTCTATCCGTTTCACCGTTTACGTGCCGTTTAATCTTCCCACTGAATGTCTATCCCTTCACATTCACTTACATACCGATTATAATGAGGTCGCTGCGAGGGGGCGGTTTTATTATTGCCCTTATTTTAGTGTTTACTCAACATTCAATAACAATCAAAGCCAAATTGGCCCAATCCCCACTTAATTGTGACACGACAAGTTACATTTTGTTCTCTGGACCTTAAATCATCCCTTCATGTCGCGTTCCCTTCCGTCGTACATTGTTTCGGAGGTTTAGTCGAGATAATTTACTTTTAATGTCCTGTATAAGGAGTGAAATTAGGACGTTAAGCAGACGCCATTTGGCCAAAACAGAGTCCTTATTACGTTACTCTGTTTCAGTCTATTTAAAGCCGTATTTTGATAGTAGTATAAGACTTTTTTCACTCTTTTACAGTACAATGGACAAGTATACTTTTAAAAGTATTTTTTGTTTCGTGTTGTCATTAGGAGAATAACGCAATGCGAACTTACCTTTTTTAATTTCTTTCTTAGACCTTCGTTTTCGCTGTGACGGTTCTAATTCTATCGTAATTGTAATCATGGTTTGTTTTCGAATGCAACCTACCAGCACTAGAGTTAAACGGTTGAAGTCTGTCCCACCTTCTACTAATCGGATTGAACACCATTGCACATTACGGAAGACAAGAAAGGTCTGCAATAACAGTGATCTTCCCAAAGGCCCTCTTCCGATAATTCCTAAACCTTCTGCTAACATTTGATAAGCCAGTTAAGCTTTTTCCGATAATTGTAGAAATCCATTGGAATTTAGTACGTTCATTCGAGGCGCGAATTCGGCGATCGTCGTTTATTTCTGGAAGGGTTAAATCCGCCTTCTGGATCGAGGAGAGCTCACAAAATACTTTAGAATTGTTGTGTGTGTACGCATATATGTGTCCCCTTGTCTCAGAAATAATTGTAACATTTTCCTCCGGGATTCGAACCGAGGAATCATCGGCCGAGCGTGTCGAGTGCGTAGTTTCAGAGGCAGTTTTGCTGATCGATGATTAAAATCGCATATTCACTACAAATGTTGCTTAATAAATGATAAGTCCTCGTAAGAATGATAAAGTTTTATTTTGTATTACAAACTTATTAACAAATTAGAGAGTGACGAGGAGAGCGATGCGCCGGAGCCATCCCTTGTCGACATTTAAGCGCTAAACTTATCGTTTAAATTCTTATGTAGCTGAAATCGCATAATATCAAGGGTTAAAAAATTCTCATTCAAAGGCCTCAAGGAAAATAATTATTGTTCAATAGTAGCAGCGCCAGACGGTCGCGGGTTCAATTCGGAATGTTCATAAAATGTTCAAAATGTATTGGATTAGTTAAAAGGTACTACCTGCTGCTGCAGGAGCTGGAGCTGAAAATATGAATTTATTAATTAAATCAAGTCTTAAAAATAAGAAAATATTAAAGAAAGAGCAAGTTAATCTCACGACGACGAATGACGAGAGTCGGGCTCGCATTCGATTTAAAGTTAAACTTCTTTACCTGGCGTCGCTGGGGTGGACTCGGCCTCCGCCTGTCAAAATTAAAGTCCATTGGAATATTAATTAATCATACGAGAGCATGCTTAAAGCCAGTTCGATTCTAATTCAATTGTAAGCATAGTTACTACTACTGACGAAAGCAATACACTGAAGTGGTTTTTAATTTTAAATATTAGGAAACATGCACTCAAAGCCTCAACTTTAATTTTCCTTCATAGGTTCTCACTTCAGACCTTTTCTAGCAATATCTTCGAGTAAATAAGCTACGGACATGTTTGTACTCACAAACACAGATCTCCAACTAATAATAGCCAATACGTTCCCGCCGTGTACTTCGTCATTGTCAAACAGTACAAACAAGTGGACGATAAATACTATGTTTGGAAAATAGATCTCGACTTATCGCATCGACACATTTTATTTTTTTCAGTGATAAACTTGCTTTTCTCTCTAAAGTGTCAATGAAGATCGTTTTGGTTGTATCGTAAATTGCAAATTTACCACACTTGCACAAAACGTCTGAAATAACGTTGATAGTGGGTTTTGGAAATGGGTTGGCGACCTATGGGGCTCAATGCAAAGATCGTGTTTTAGAACTCCATGCTTCGTATTCTTAGTACGAGTCTGGTTCGTTTTTGGACATTAGCAGATGGCATCTTAGTACTTCCACATACTTTATTATCGGTCAGGGTATCACACGGCAGGTGAGCGAGGGTAGGAAAAAGACACCGTTACAACTTTAATAATACAGAAATTGTTTTATTAAATTATTTACTTACAAAAAGTTTAATAAATAAAAAATGTTATGGACCGGACTGGTGTGGTCATAGGTAAAATGGAGGAATGGACCATGCTCCCTGTGGAATGGAAAATGGTCTCAAATGGCTAGTTCTTAATTTCGAGGCCAAAGGGGGTAGGTGAACACTTCACGCTTCGATCTCTTCCTCCTTTACCTTCGCGTCTCCAGGTTTGCCCTTGGACCAGTCGGGTTTTTTCTGTAAGAGCATTGAATATTAAGTACGTTACTTAAATTACGCTGAAAGTAAGCTCAGCTATGTACACGCGCTTATGTTTTATGTACACAATTACATTTACATGCACCTCATACACCTGCAACTACGAATTAAGATGTCTTCTGTAAAAGGCGATTCAAATAAAGTCACAATGTCGTTAATGTGACACGGTTCGAGCAGGTTTAATATTCTTCGCGAAAAGCTTTGTGAAAACTAAAATTAACTTTGTGCAGTAGCTGCAGATGCACACGAAGTTGGAAAACAAATGACTTGGAGGGCAAATTCACCCGCCGGCCCATCAATCCACGTCCAGGCGCCGACGATCTATCACCCAACTCTACAATCTATAACATAATCGCAATTTACAGAACCGCGAAAATGCGATTCATCTAAATTTCATCATAATTGAGTAGCCATTTGCCTTCTACCATTTATGTAAAGTTGTAGTTATCGAATCAAGTACCTAATATGAATTAGACTTACTTAATTACTAATTAGTTATCTAATGTATGAACAAAACATTTCTTTGTGCTTGACTATACGCAATCTACAGCCAGTGTCAGGGAGCGAGCGCTATGTAGGAATTAAGTTTTCCTCAAAAAATATACATACAAATGAACTTATACCAAACTGCGACTGGACGGTAAATGCTATGATTTGGAAGCTGAAAGTTTCAAAATCGAATCTCATGAGTAATAATCGGGGAAAGAAACAAATTCTACAATCGATAAGGCTCTTAGCTATCGAGAGTAAACCAACCAACCAGCCAACGTCCTCGGTTCTGTAAAGGCATTTGGACTAAAAGTGGCAAAAAAGCCGGAAAGTCGCCAAAAAAGCAATATATGTATATACAAAGTGTTGTGTAGATCTCGTGCCTCAACGGACGCTAGCGACAACCGTCACACACTGAGGGCTTTTTTTTAGTCGTACGGAGGACGGAAAAAAATACTCCGAAGTCGTCGGGCCATTCTGCCGAAGCCCTTAAGCGCAGCGCCGAGAGTCATGCCTAAAGTGAAACAAGGCCTACGCTTTACATTAACTGCCGACTGTTACCTTGGTCGCGGCGGCTCCCTGCGGAACAAATTCACCGTATACAATATACACGTTAGCCAAACTTCAAAATATTTACACGAAGGGAGGTTAGTCACGAATTAAGGTGATCGTCGACTGCGGTGCGGAAGCGTTGCAGGGGAAACCGCACAAAGTCACAGTAAAATAAAGCTGGTACAGATTATTCTGAGTTATGACGACAAGGATCTGCCAATTCAGAAGCTATTTACGCGCCCCAAACTCTCACCTCGTCGTTGCGGAATCGGTATCTGATCGGTAGCGCGCTTTAATTTTAAACAATCGTTGTACAGTTAAGAAGTAGTTTATTAAAATTTAATCGGTAATTAAAATTATATCATCTCGGCGATGTAAAGGAATATTGCGTGTAAGAAACGGAGGATCACTTCTTCCCGATAGCCCAATCCGCTTTCTCCGCTTTCTTAGCCTGTTGGAATGTCAGTTCTCTTTGTAGTGTGATTTCGTCGAATTACTTCGTGGAATAGCTGAACAGTTGTACGTTAACTACTACATACATAAAGTATAAGAAGAGAATAGAATAGTTTGGATTTTTGTGGGATATAGAAAATGGGAAAATTTGTACCTCTTTGTCTTCTTCTTCGAGGGTGAATTCCTTCTTTTTGACAACCTTAAGTTGGTTACGGAAGTTGAATTCGGCCGCTTTCTTCTGGAGCTTGGCGAATTTGTTCTCGTATTTGGAAACCTTCTTCAGGGTAGGTTTGACACTGTAAATAAGCAATACAGGTAAAGCGCATGAAGCCATTTGAATTAGAAGCTGTAGTAAGATTGTCATACGAATATGACTACAGCTTCTAGCTCTGATAGGGCGTCATATTTCACGGAGAGAAAACTTAGAGCGCTACTCTCATTTCAACTCGTGGTCTTTCGAAAAATATCATATATTACGAATTTTTATGAAAAAAGCCTTTACATTACAATTATCGCCCGGTGTATAATTAAAAAAAAACGATTCGGAACACAACGAGTCTCTTTGCTGAAGTGCAGTCGAGTGCGCTCGGCGCCCGGAAACTCATTATTCTGTGATACACATTCTTTTAAGGACTCAAACAGATGACTAATATAATTTGTAGCATATTTGATAAATACTTACAATTTACCTCTGAGGTCATTCACTTGGGAGTTCAGGTCGGCGATCTGGCAACATAGCGCAATATTAATACGTAGGTAAGGTCGTTGGTGCATTTTACGATCCGAAAGTAAATTAAACTCCATTAGAAGAAAACATTATAAAAGAGGACGAATTAAAGTTTTCGTCTTTCTGAATATATAAAAAAATTAACTTGAATGTTACCTGAATTAATATTTTTTTTTATTTAGAAAAGAGAATACAAGGAAATAAGACGCCCTTTTAGGTTCAAGATTAGGATTAACTTTAAGAGATACCCACTCTGACCCCGTAGTCGCGTTTAAATGTTATCCATTAATCTTAGTCCAAGAATCGTCAAGAAAGCGCATGCAACATTTTACCAACAAAACAGAACATATAAAGCTGAAAAGTAAAATCAAAGAAAAGCCAAGAAAGGTTGTGAAGGGGCTGTAAGCGGCTCTGTAGACAAGCAGAAAACCAATGAACAAAGATTAGGCAGGGTTATTGGCGAGCTAAAGTTCAGTTTAAAAAGTGACGAATCGTCGAAACGACGTTCTACCGCCCGCGTGCGCAACCGTCGCTCTCGTCTCAGGTACGAGTCAGTCCTTTATGCTGTTTGCGTGCAAAATTGTGTTGCAACGGTGGCTGGCCAACGCAGCTCCTGACAGCTACACAACGAGTGCAGAGTGTATATAATACAAGTGCAAACATTCAGATATCCGACGCGAACGATTCGGTACGGCGCCGAATTCGCCCGGCGCCAACACTGTCAGACAGTGTCAGACCAGTTATCGAAGTCGTACCGTATTGCGCGCGTCCGCTATGTGCGAATCAAATCCCCTTCGAAGAAAGAGGACCGCGACTGAATCCACTACACTTCGACATCCAATTCTCAGAACTGTGAAAGTCGTCGTCGCAACAGTGTAGTTCGACAAGCGGCGGTGCAAAATCGATCGATTCGTTCCTACGGCCGTCGTGTCGCTGTATCGTGTCGAGTGGAATGTGAGGTGTCGTGGAGGAGTAACTCTAACGGGACGGGACGGGACGGGACGGGACGGGGCGAGGGTTTCGACCGGAGCATGGCACTTTCGTTTCGATCGGTGTCCAAGTGTTACTTCCGCATCGCTAAGGTTTTCATCGATCGAACTCGCAAACGACCACTCTATTTCATTCGTGGATGACTGAGATTTGGAACAAGAAGTTTCATTAAGCTCGCCACGTAAGTGCGCTACTGAGGGAACTACTCTGGCGTTCCAAAAGTCTTCGGTGACTCTACTCGCTACACCCGCGACCGCCGGCACACACCACGTCGCCTGGGATATTAAAGTGCCATACTAACAGGGATCGATCGGGACTCTAAAGCGGTTCACTAATCAATCAGCACATGCAACGCACGCTCGCCGGTGACGGGAGCGGTACAAAGATGGAGCGTGAAGGGGGTCAACGCAAATGCATCAATGGTGGTTACGTGATCGTGCAGTTATATTCGTTAGTGTAGGTAACGTGTGAGCTCCGGATCGGAGGACGCCTCGATTTTGCACCGCTCACCACGTGGCGACCCGTGGAGTTCGCTCGCGACGCGACGACCTAGCCGTCTTCGCGCAGATCCGTCCGCGTCGAGGACGCTACGACTGCCCCGCGGGCCCCGGCCATTATTTACAAGTTCAACAGCAAACATCCGAAAACTTCCAAAGCATTATACATAATATAGACAGTGACTTTCCACGGGCACGGTTATAGCACGATATCGATGCTCGTGATATTCACAGTGGTCTAAAAATATTGGTCAATACCTCGAAATCTCTTTTCCTGACTTCGTGTTCCAAATCCCACTTCTGGCCCTCACACACATATACGCGGTCATAATACTCCTGGATTATTCTCTTGAGCACTTCTAAAGAAAAAGGAAATACAAATTATTTAGCCTGTAAAGTGGGCACGGAGAGCTGTGTGAGTGACCCGTCCCGACGGAGGGGGCGACGTGTGCATGTGTGCTGTGAGCCGTACGATATGCCAAGATCAAAATCATCACTTCATACGCATTGCCAATCCTATTATGCTGTTTACCTCCAGTTTCCTAACTTGCAACGCTCGTTCAAGTTCCCACTTATCCCCCTCGAGGCCGAATATTCTGTGCCAGTACATTTGACAAACCGTCTGCAGTTCAGCTAGAGAAAAACATAATGGTGTATGAGGAAAAGATGTCTCAAGAGGTCCGAAGCGTTCTCGGCCTAACGGGCATTTATTCTAAGTGGAAAGTGTACGTCTGTTTGCACGAGATCACTTTTTTCTCCTACGAGTACAAGCGAAAGCGAAGCCACATGGTGGAGTATTCGTTTCGTCTACGCCGCGAAGTCATCTACAAAAGTCAGACGATCGCTGCGCCGCGGTAGCGAGATGGAACTTTGTTATTCAGCTATTAAAATTGTTATCCACATTTTAGTTAATCTTAATTTTCAGCTCCGGATGGTGAGAGTGAGTCGACTGCGAAAACAAACCAATAACTTTTCTAGTCACAATATATCGGCGCTTGCACGAACTACGCAAACAGCGTCTTATTAATTTAGACCTCGAGTTGTCTGCGGGCCACTTCCATCTCGTGATCGTACTTCTCCTCCTCCAGCTTGGCGATTCGCTGGTGATAACCCGTAATGATGCTCGTGAGAGCGGCTATAACATCAATCAATGGTTACTTGGCGGAATCTATTTCCCTAACGTCTAAGTTTCTCGACTCGTCGCACGTTGAAGTATGAAGGCGAGAATAAAGTAAGTGGATATGAGAATAAATCAAGTGATTAACGTAGTGAGTTCGCGAGAATTGTTACAAGTTTAAGAAATACGCGTTAGAAATTATAAGGCCGTTTGAAAATAGTGGCAAAAATAATGTTACAAGACGAAAAGAGAGATCACGCCACTTCGACAAATACAGAAGACAAGTAGAAGATATTGTAAGTAGTCGTGTTATGGGATAGCGCCCCATCGAGGTCGGTGTCGCTACCTCCATGTCTTTTCGCTTTACGATGTATTCCAGATCGAATTTCTCATCTTCGAGCTTGGCGATGCGGCTGTGGTGTTCTTTGCAAACCCTCGAAATAGCATCTACAACGCGACACAAACGTTTTATATTGGGTTCAAAGATAATGTCTTTTCTCAGTGGGCTTTGAATACTGGAACGCTACTGTAATGAATACTTTGCATGTCGCCGATTGTGTGGAAGTATCAAATAATGTACGTCGCTAGGCCTGCCGCAGCTGTTTACCTTCGTTTGCATCGTCGATGTTCTTGGGTCTGCCGCACCTCTCTTCGATGATGCGCCTCCTTTCTGCGGCTTTGCGTTCCTGTTCTTTTTTCAATTCTTCCGCGGCTTTCTTACGCAGGAGCAACTGATCGATAGAAATACATTGTAATTATTTTATTCTTGAACCGCCTTAAAAACGTATTCAATGTACTCACCCTGAGCTTCTTCTTTCTCTCCGGGGTCATGAAACCTTTCTTGGCCTTCTTAGCTTTGGAGGCTTCCTCCATGCGCTTGCGCACCTCAGCGCGCTTGCGGTCGATTTCGGCCTGTTTGGCCTTCTTCGCCTGAAGAACAGTGCTCAATAATAAAGGTTGTCGATACGTATAACTATAATCTACAATAAATGAAATCTCAAAAGCTAGCTGGAGGCGCTATTCAATTCTAATGAAGTATGTAGAAAATACGGTTCAGAAAACATTTTCCACTATTGTCTCTACAGAAATAAAGCTTAGAGTAATATTATTAATAAGACTAATATTATCTGAAAGTGAATATTTTCTCCTTCTGAAGATTCCTCTACTTTACCTCCTCGAGACGCCTCTTCTGTAAAAGAAAGAGAAAAGCTAATGTAACAACGATTCACCTATACGAGTTGTAGGTTATGTACCTACAAGAATAATAAGCTATGAAGTTGAAACTGTGGTGAGTCACAACGAGAGTGTCGTTAATTTGTCTCTGTTATGCGTCGTGCCATTAAAAGCGGTGCCGATATGTTGGCCAAGAATCAGTATTTTTAATGTGTTTTAAACATGTATGTTTCGTTATCAATGTTTGTCAAACTTGCTAATAAAGCAGTGAAATAACGACTTACGTTTATTGTTTTATTTTGCTCCTACTTCTGTACTCACACTATATAAACGCATCTCTCGAGCGGTAAGATGGGTGTCAACCTATCGCTGTGTAGGTTTTGTTCTAAATATACTGTATGTGCGCAAGGCTTTAATCTAAACATCGGGTCATCCGCGATCTATGAGCACATGTATATCGTACTTAAGTACCAGTGTGTGGGTGTGTTTGAAAGCAGGTATTAGTTGTTATTGCGTACCTTAGTCTCGAGGAGTATTTAAGACGTTCGATACTGTAATCCGTCCGTTTGAAGTACGTCGAAGAAGGCCGCAAGGGAACATGAAACATAGAGAATGTTTGCACACGTTAAAATTCATTGTTCTTTAATAGAATTAACCCCTAATGGTATTTAGCAAAAGAAGTCCCTAATCTAGGTAAACCTGACCCAATGGTCTTAGATCAGCTCAGGAAAGCCGCTTCTGATCCCCGAAGTGACAACCGGCAGCAGTAAAAAAAAACTTTGTTTTTCTTCTCTTTGTTTGTCCCCCGGTAGCATTCGAAGAAATATTCATGAATTATATATAAATCACTCAGTGAACAAATTCTAATTCAATTCAAGAATTTACGTAAAAACTTTCGTTCATACATTACCTTACTTCATCATCTGCCATCGTGAATGTGTTGTTTCCGGGGACTGAAAATGAACAATGATTGGGGTTTAATCGTGTGGTTCAAATAATATTAATCTCCTATTATGCTCGTCCGTTGCGAGTACCTTTACCTTCTATCCTTCAATTATAGGACGATTTCCTATTTACGGTAGTAAGTAATTTTTCGAATAAGAACAGTGATAAAAAAATATTCTGTAAGTCATTTTCAAGAATGAAGTTGAAATGCCGATCCAATTGGGGCCTTTTTTCGTTTTAAATAAAATAACCGTTAAAAACGATAAAATATTCATTAGAAATGGTAGCATTTGGTGTAAAATTCAGCTTCCCTGTAAAAAAATCTAAAAATACTTTTGTGTATTTTATATTGCATAATTTTCGAAGCAAAGCTCTTCGACCGTGACCGAAATCGGGTCACGCTTAACATCGTTTCGAGCTTGGGCCAGGGCGGAGAACCACTTTTCTCGCAGCATCGGTGACGCGTGGAAAACTAGTAGCAAAAACTACGACCGTCGAGTCAGTTCGGTTCGCTTCGGTCGGTTCGCACGAGACTGAAATAGGTCGGCGGAAGCCACTCTCGCGCATCCTAATTTGGTTGCGAACACGCTTCTTCGGTTACACGAGTTCAGCATTGCGCGTAGTGAACGTGTCGTGAAGTCTTGGGCGCAATGATTTATATTAAATATAACAAAAAATAATAGTTTCCGAGATTGCAAATTATTCCAAGAAAAAATATATATATTCTCGTTGAAAAGAGACAGAAATTAAATTTGGAAACCAAAAATAACGAAGTTTAAGTTTACGATGAAATATCTGCAAGTCGATTTACACATTTTGAATCGACACCCTATTATTTTCGCACAACTATGTGCCGCCGCCTATGGAGTGTCCGTTAGTGACGTCACGTGTGCGGTTCGACCTCACGCTGATACTGGGCGGCTGAGGCGCCAGGATCCTCTCCGGGCGGATCACTTCACAAATGCACTTTTAAACGGTTACAATAAATTCACTGGAACTCACCTACGTCAAGAAAGGAGATGGCCCTAAGATGGTTCAGCCAACACGAGCCACACTTGCTGACTGGCGCTGGGCGGGCGGCCGGGCGCGGCGGGCCGTGCGTGGGCGCACCTCCCCGCGCCCATGACGTCACGTTCGCCGCTAGCTCCCCGCCCCCTGACCCCTCACCTAAGACATTTTTAGAGCAGTGTCGTTTTGACACCGACACCGAAATAACATTTAACGTCCCGCATGAAATCGAGATACCGCGTAAACATTGCGTCCGCGCAGCTCACACGATAGATAAGGCTCTCTGCAGCGAATGATTATGGTCATTAGCGGAACCGACAATTCATTAGCCACAGACCAATCTCCCGGCTCGAATGCAGAAAATCTCTCTCTAGGGACCGATGCTAGGGACAGACTAACGGAACCGGACGAAAAATCGATTCCAATGTCTTGAAAACCGAGTCCTAGTCAAGGCGTTTTAATTAAATCGCTGATGGTTTCGGAAATAACAACGAACTAATTCTTAGCGGGTTTTTTTACGCTCATTAGGTGCATGCTCCGATTTTGCAGAGGGCCTAATCCATCCGGTAGCGATCTAACTACGACCCGTTTCTTTAAAGTATTGTTCGTAGGATCCGTCGATTATTAATTAATATTTTATTAATGAATGCGATATTTATCTATAAACTTCTGTACGATTCTCTTAAACACTATGAGTACTATGTACAACTATAATATTATAATCAAACAAAATCATTCGCCTTTATTTTAACTAACTAGCTGTATCGGCGACTTCGCCCGCATAGAATGCTTAGTTGGTTTGGGCAACAAAAATTGTTATTACAAACCTTCTTCTCAACCCGCGCGTCCCGTCGTTATGCTTAGCAAGTTAAGCTTAAAAAGTCATACATATAGAGTCTCGGACATTTTTTTAGTTCATTTCAACAAGGTATCTTGAAACGTTTTCCCAGAGTACGCATCGGAGACCCACAAAGATTAATAATTTTTGCCTTTTTTCCCACATTTCCCGCTGTTTCTTTTCTCCTATTTGTCGCAGTGTAATTTTTTATAGGTTGGAGTATTTATCTAGGAGAGCTTTACGTTCATCGATAAATATTCTATTAGTCACAAAAAAATGTTTTTTTTTTATTTAAACCGCCGCATTCTAACAAACAAACTCTTCAGCTTTTTGTTAGTAAAGATAACTTAATATTATTATACCATTAATAAAGCGCCCACATACACCGAGAAACCCTAAAACGAGAATTGGTATCGAATGAATTTCAACAGCACATTTTAACTTGTAACAAGTATACCTACGTTAAAATGTTAATTAAGCGATGCCCTCTTTGACGGAATCCATGGCGTGTGCTTTTACGCGTTACGTTCGAGGTGATCTCATTTAATCAAAACCCGATAGGTTTGTAAAATTAAACCTGCCCTGCGCACTCCTCATTTGTGGTACGAGGAAGTACATACCTCGAAGTGAATTGATCGGTCAGGTGTGAACTCAGCGGATAAACAATTAAGAATTACATTTCCTTCCTTTCGTTCTATACTGAGGTGTGATTTCGTCGGCCTCGCCGAAAATAGCGTCCGATGAAGAATGCGGCCGTTATATCAAAATCTACTCATTAAAATCTTACAATATTTAGGATTTTCGTCTGGTACGGCTCTCTCATCGAGTCAGTTAGATAGGATGACGAGATCTAGTTCTCTCATCGAAGGACCGGCTCGTTAATCTAAACTGCCTTTTTACTACATTTCAGCATCGTTCGAGCCGTCGCGACCTAGTTGAATTCAGCACGCAGTTAACTCATTTTAAATAAGGCATGAAAATAACTCCACTTCTTCGATTTTCAATAAAAATATCTAGTTAGCGTTATTGACATTGAAATAATTTCGCATTTCATTGCTAAGGCATACGTCACCTGTACTTAACTGAAACTTTTTAGTATACTAGCTGAGCCAGCGACGTCGTCCGCGTGAAATAGTTATTTCAGGCAACAAATTTTGTTTTGCGAATTAATTATTTATTTATTAAAAACCAATCACACGTCCTGCTTACAATATATTTTAAAGCTGCTACTCGCGATGTCCGTCGCCGTCCGTCGTTCTGGCAAGTTAATCTTAAAAGATCAGACATTCTTTTAGATGATTCAAAGTAGAATCATTCTTTAATACATATTTTTGGGTACCTTGGACCGTTTTCGTAGCAAACGCACCGGAAACTCTCAAAGATGAACAATTTTCCTCGTTTTTTTCCACATTTCCCGCTGTTTCTTTGCTCGTTGGAGTATTTGTCGAGGAGGGTGTTACGTACCTCGATAAACTCCAAACAAGTTTTCAATTCGAACCAGTAGCTCCTGAAATTTGCGTGTTCAAACAAACTCTTTAGCTTTATAACTATTCTCTAGTATATTTAACAGAGAATGTTCTAGACTGCCGTGATTTGAGCTCTAAATTACAGATTATTACAGTTTATTCAGTGAAACCGACCTAAAACTATGTGGTTTGTATTTGCTTCTGTTCTTCGGCCTATTGAACTTAGAGATAACCGAAGTCTTTTTATTACCTTACATATTTTACATGTTTTACGTTGCGGTTACAGTTTATTTATATTAGTCAAATATTGTTAATATCGGGTCCGCATTTTGCGGTAGAAGCGTTCTCCATACGCTTCCACTGCGTTCTGTTTATAATTTAATAACATTTGTTTATTAAGCGGTACACATTCAACAGGACGTGTTCGATGCAAACACGTTTTATTCAAGTACGAAACTAATTGAGGTTCGCTTACGAAGGTCTAAACGGTTTACGTTAAAAATAAAACACTAAGGGCTATGACACGTACAAATAACGACTAATACGATAGTGAGATACATAAACTAGTTGTATGATGATACATATCTATATCGCTTCGATACATAAGTATAATCTATATCATACAATGTTAAAAATGTGATCGGTACAGTTTACTTGTAATATGTATGTTTGGAACGCGCTAATATCAGGAACTAGGTACTTGTTCAAAATATAAAAAAAAAACTATTTTTGTGTTGGTTGGAACATTTATCGAGAAAGCTATAAAGCGTCACATTGTGAATAAAAGGAGCGATGAAACAGTGGGAAATGTGGAAAACACGGGAAAAATTATGTATCTTTGTTGAATTTCAATGTGTACGCTACAAATACGGTTACCAGATACCGAAAAATAATATATGTCTATCTTTCAAGATAAACTTGCAAAAACGACGGGACTGACGTCGTGGGTAACAGCTTAAATTTCTAAAGACGAAGCACAAACATATTCGGATCCCCAAAATAACTATTCTACGCGGACGAAGTCGCTGACACAGCTAGTACGTAATATGAGATACACCGTGACTAGGTTGCGTCCTAGAAAATAAAACAATCCCCAACTTTTATAATTAGACGCGAGAACAACCGTCCGACTGCCAATCTTCTTTTGAGAAATTGCTGCAGCGACATCTCGAATCAAATTACGATAGCACGGAACCCGCACTCTCGAATTAGCAAAAGTTCCAAATTATTTCCCTAGATGAAGCCAAGTAAGAAAAAGAAAATCACGCGATGACTCAGACTCGCCGTCCGATAGTACCTACGTGTATTTTAATATTGGCCTTCGTCGAGCGTCTCCACTCCTTTGTTTATTGGATTTTCCCCGTTTTATCTCCATTTCCCGCTCTTTCCTCGCTGCTATGAGTTACAGTGCATAAATGCTCTAACCGACACCAAAAGAATTCACAAAAAGAAAGTGTTCAGACAAACAAAGGGATGCAATGCTCGTTGATTTTTTTATTTGTTTTTAGTCTTGATTGTAGACATACCTGTAAATATCGCTCAAATTTTCTTCTGTGAGATTTAGTTTTCAATTGACGTATGTCGTTTGTGTGCGCATGGAGGCTTCCCCTCCGGTGCGCTTCGCTATGATCCCCTAGCTACTTCTTTTCTTTATTTTCTAAATCTGTCATTTAAACAGTATGTTCTTATAGTCAGTAGAAAATAGAACTATTGTATAGTACAAGGAAGCAACTTGTATACTTTTACACGACATTACACGAGTTATGACCGCGTGTCGTCTATCTCACAATGCGTTTTCAAAAACGCAGAGCAAAATGTCTTTTTTAATGTATTACAAGAGGTTTTTAGAAGAGCGACGTAGGTATAATTAGCTATAAGAAAAACACTCGACGCTCAATGTAAGCACTTAACTAACGCACGGTCTGCGCGATTAACGTATATTTAGAGAAGATAAGATCTGGTCAATATTTGATTAATTTAATATAATATTATATAATTACTATGTATGAAGGCAAACGTTTGGAAACGAGCGCCTGAAATTATAACGCGTATGGCTGGCGGAGCTGGGACGTGCCGCAGTCGATTTCTGACCTTTTATATTGTGACATCAATAAAACGTTTATGTATTATGGATACACTACCAGTCAATGGAGCGACAGCAGAAAGGCCCTACTTTGCCCAGAATTATATCGTGGCTAAGATCTTCATTGATTCAAGATCGCCTAACCGGAATGGCACTTCTCAACGTTCATAAAAACGTACCCATTGACATAAAAGACGTAATAACGCGTTTCGTGTGAAGACATATGTAAAAGATTTGTCTGTTTCTATTTCGCTCTTTAGAAGCCCTCGTCGTAGCATCACTTCACTTTTGCGTCATACCTCTGGGCATACATAGCTGTTTTGACAAATCATTCACCACCAATATTATAAAGAGGAATATTTTGATTTTATTAAGCTAATATCCAAATTTGTGCATCATGCATCGTCATGATTCAATTTTCTACATTATCGTGCACTCAATGTGTTCAACAAAGCACACCTTTCAAGAATTGTACTTCAAAATCCTGGTGGCGTGTTGTGTTTATATCTCTATCTGTTAAAGGTTGAATCTTTCGACAATCAAATCTGTGCATTGGTTGCTGATAAGTATGTTGTGTAAAGTTTGTAAAGAATTAAGAATTTTAATACTTCTAAATAAAAGCGCCTGATAGAAAGTATATATTTCGATTGGTGCGATTCTTGCTTGAATAAAACTAAAGAAAAAAGCTAAAACAAAAAGCAAAATATTGAAGATTAAAGATTTGTGAAAGGGCACTTCGCCCTTTTAGTTTTATCTTTACGATGATATAAACTTTAAAAACTGATTTTGGAAAGTACATTCATTTAAACAAAACGCATTTAACGGTTTAATACGACTTTTAAACTACGTTATAACTTAAGAGTAAATTAAGTTTGATTTGTGCATTTCTTGTCATAAATACGTGATTATTCGTTATTATTTACGCTCCAGGAGGACTTTTAACGTTACATGCTGTTGTTTATCTGGTAATGTATCTCGACTCTCTATGGCAATGCGAAAATTTTCGAATGAATGAGGAAGACTGTATAAGTAGTAGCATTATGCTCAACAGATCATTAGTTATATCTATTCCCATGTCACCTAGTATCGTTATCGACGTTATTCATAAATTTGTTAAGGTGATCCATTATATTATAGCCATCCAACATCTTTCGCAAAATTAATTCTTTTAGTAAAGTCGCTTTTCTTGCCGGACCTTTACTTTCGTAAATATTTTCGAGAGTACTTGTTTTACAGTTCTTCACTTGTTTTAGTTCTGAAGGAGCTATTATTAGTAATAATTCGGACAAAGCTAGACTGTCCTTTTCATTATATTTTACAATTTCTTCAGGACTTACTTGCGTAGGGTTTTTCTTCCATACAGGATCCCATAGTCCGCATTTGGTGAGCAAGGCTTGTGCCATCTTCCACGTATCGTACTTTTCCCGTGTTAAGGTCTCGATTCTTATATTAGTTGCCATTACATATATTCAAATTTTTATTTATTCTAGTACCACTGGGCCCAAAACCTGTTATTATAAAGTAAAAGAAATAAAATGTATATGGCTTTAATTGTAGTGATTACAACAAACAACAACCCTCTTACTAACTGTATTGTAACAAGAAGTGTAACCATAGCAACTACGTATCTACTTAAGAATGTTGAGTGACTTATAAAGGAATCTTTATAACAGCTTTCTTCTCTAGAACTAAAATAAGCTTAAGGTTTAAATTAAGATTTTTCTATACTACTAGAAAGTAACAAATTCACAAAGCAAATTCGATTACATGATGCTATATATTTTTATCAGGCGCTATAATTTTTTTAAAACAAAAATCGTTTAAAAATTGTGTCTTTAGCTATGAAAAGTGTTATATCAAACCGAACTTTCAATCAGAAACAGCTAATCTTATTTAGTTTGTATAGAAATTGGTAGGTTTTGAAGCTAGAACAATGTAACTTTCTTCTTTGGCTTTTTGGGAATAGGAGTGCGATTGGGAGTGAGAGTGGGAGTTAGAGTAGGAGTTATGTGAGGTGAGAGTGTTGAGACAAAGTAGCACTTACAACATAGATTGGCTGCGATAAATGCGCAATTACATCTATATCTATACTAATATATGAAGCTGAAGAGTTTGTTCGTTTGTTTGTTTGAACGCGCTTATCTCAGGAAGTACGGGTTCGAATTAAAATTATTATTGTGTTGGTTAGAGCATTTATCGAGGAAGGCTATAACACATATGCCATGTGACTAATAGGAACGAAGATACAGCGAGTGAACAAAACGGGGAATTTTTCATGTCTCTAGGTTTCAGATGCGTACGCTGCGAAAACGGTTCGAGATACCTAAAAATTGTGTAAAAAAGAATAGTTCCCCTTTAAATGAGATACGTCTATTTTTTAAGATTAACTGGCAAGAACGACCCGAACGACGGGATGCGAATATTGTGGGCAACAGCTATATACACTTATATTATAAAGAGGAAATATTTGTATTTTGGTATTTTGGTATGTATCGGATAAACTCTAAAAGTACTGGCCCGATTTTAATAATTCTTTTTTCATTAGAAAGCTACTCACTATCACTGAGTAAAATAGATCACGATAGAAATCTTTAGAAATTTCTATTAAAAGCAACGGGAGGTGTAAAAAAAATTGCCATAAAATGTCTTTCATCGCATACGCTGCGAAGAGTATTAATGATAGGACAAAAAAATGTTCTACAATATTATAGAATATATCAATATCTACAAAAAACATCGCGAGACTTATTAGTCTAACTATTGTACTTACATCACTATAACTACTTTTTTACATATTTTAACAAAGTGATAGAAATGCCGAACAAAATCAAACCGTGTTATCCATACCATTTAAAAATTTTTATATAAATAAATCTATACTCATATTATTATTACGAAAGTAACTCTGTCTGTCTGTCTGTCAGTGCGGCTTTAATCCGAAACTGCTGAACTGATGAAATTTGGTACACAGATATTCTAGAGCCTGAGAAAGGACATCATATACTACTTTTGAATACCAAAAAAACGTTGATGAGGGTTGAAAAAGGGAATAAAAGTTTGTAAATTCGTGGTTTTTGAAGCTAGAACAATGAAACGTTCTTCTTTGGCTTTTTGGAAATAGGAACAGCAGTGGGAGTGGGAGTGTAGCGTTCGAGTGAAATCCGTAAAAAATCACTAAAGATAGTGCAAGTGTTTACAAAATCTAACAAAGAGTGTATAATAGCGCCATCTGGTGATTCACATTTGAATTTGAATACGAATTCTAGTGAAATGCCCAATCCATCAAGTCAAAGGAATTATGTGTGCGAAGTTATTTGCGATTGGTCCAGATGGCGTTCGATACATAACTACCCGTATTGTTGGTATCGGAGAGGAAAAAGGTCTATAGCAAGAGAAACAGTTTGGACTTAAATTATCTTGGCGTTCGAGTGAAATCCGCAAGAAATCACTAAAGATAGTGCAAGTGTTTGGGCAACTTTCTTAAGCAAAGTTAAAATCTAACAAAGAGTGTATAATAGCGCCATCTGGTGATCCACATTTGAATTTGAACACGAAATCAATTATTCCAACGACATGCCCAATCAATTAAATAAATTTATGTAATGTGTGCGAAGTTCTTTGCGATTGCTCCAGATGGCGTTCGATGCATTGACTGTAATTTTCACTTGCATAAAGATTGTCCAAAATTGCATAAAGATTGTGGGGGCTAATAATCAGCATAGCTGTGAAGTAAACGGTGAAGTAGAACTATTGAAGAGACGAGAGCGAACGGCGAAAATACTGAGCACGTCGCGATTTCATTGGCTCAAATATTAGAATTATTTGAACGTCTCGTGTATAAAAAAAGAATTGCTTATGTGAAAGACCTGTTTGTGAATTACTTTGTAAGACAATATGGTAAATAGTAGAGAAAGGTTAAAGGTTGGACTCTTGAATCCAGGGTCACTAGGAAGGTGGACATACTAGCCGTAAAGGAGACGTGGCTTCGGGAGGGAGAGACGGGACGCGCTCCTCGGGTGACGGGTTACAGGCTTCGACATATTCCCCGCCCACCGTCGGTTCGCACTCGCGGTGGAGGCGTAGGTTTTTACATTAATAAAATGATGTCTGTTCGTTTATTCCTCTCCTCCTGCTGTAAATTTAGTTGAACAGATGTGGATGAGAACTACCATTCGGGGACAAACTGCTTATAGACCGCCTTGGTTCGATGCACAGCTATTTCTTAATAAAATAAAAAAATAATAAAAATAAAAAATAGTGAAACTTTAATTGACGTCGTTTTTAGCAATGCTCCGGTGTCGGAAGTAGCAGTCGATCACATAAGAGATTTAAGCAGTCATGCGTTTGTATTTTGTACTTTTAATATAATTAAGCAAAAATTTAAACCTAGTTGGATCTCGTTCCGCGCTTTAAAGGATATGGAGAGTTGTAATAATACGCTTTTAGCTACCTCTCGGGAGACAATTCGGCATTTAGCAGACGTGGACAGTAAGATCTATTATCTTTTTACGTCTTATCTCAGCACATTATTCGATTTTTATGCACCTCGTAAATGGGTTTTTGCTAGACAACGTCACTATCCATGGGTGACATATAATTTAAAATGTATGATGAAGACCCGCGATGAAGCATACATTAGGGTTAGGAAGAGTAAATGACAATCACATATTAATCATTATAAAGACCGCAAAAAACAGGTGAATGTGGCGCTATTTATCGAAAATAAACTTTACTTTGATAAATATGTAAATAACTCCATTAACCAACCAAAAAACCTATGGATACATATTAAGGCTCACGCACGAATTAAACCTCCTAATTTAATTTAATTTAATTTAATGGTTTTTCACCAGATGCAGCCAATTGGTTTAGTACTGTCGCTGTAATACGAGAAGATGGTACGACTACGATTTCTCCCTCTATTTTGGAAACCTTTTTATTTATTCGTAGTTTTAGTCGTTTCCATATGTATGCTGATGATATACAGCTCTATTACTCTTTCTACTTCAAAAGCTATTTCCTACGTTAATTCGGATTCGTCGAATTCTCTTATTCTAAATCCCACAAAAACAAAAATTTATGGCGTTGGGATCACAAGATCCAAAATATCTCGCCTATCATTGCCCATTTCCATAAATAGCCAAGCCATTGTGAACGTGTCCATGAGTATTGAAGTCTGCGTATACTTTTTGACGAAAATCTTCGATTTGAAAACCAAATTTAATTATGAGGATGCTGTATATGGGCTTAGACTCTTCGCGCGGTCAAAGCAGGCCATACTAAGGGTATAAAATGCTTGCATCCGATTTCGTTGGGGTATACCCCCCGAAGCCATATAACTCCATATATTGTCAAGGCGAACATACTCAACATGGAAAACAGGAGACGTTTGCATATTGCCGTTCTACTCTATGACGTCATCTTGTCCAAGGCGCCTCAGTACCTACTTGTACGTATATTTTTAATGTATTTTTTTTTATAATTTTAATTTAGTTTGTTTTTGCTGCAACACAAGTGTGTTCGTAACATTATGCTCAGTGGCTCCTGTTTTAGGAGATATTACTATTATAATTATAAAAGTGTCATATCAAAGTAAACTTTTTAAAACAGCTAATTTAATGTTCAACGCTTCATTCTCTAGAAATAAAATAAACTAAAGGTTTTGCATTCATTTTAACTAAAAAGCTACAAATTCACAAAGAAAATTCAATAACATGCACTTTTGCTATATATTTTTATATTTCTAAAGAACAAAAATCGTTTGAAAATTGTGTTTAGCTGTAAAAAGTGGTATATCAAACCGAACTTTCTAAAAAAGCTAATCTTATTTATGTAGCTTTATTATCTAGAACTAAAATAAACTTAAGGTTTAAATTAAGATTTTTCTATACTACTAAAAAGCAACAAATTACATGCACTTTTGATATATATTTTTATCAGGCGATATAATTTATAAAGATTAAAAATCGTAGAAAAGAACCTTAAGTTTATTTTAGTTCTTTTCTACGACTTTCGAGTCAGAAGATATAGTGAATATTGTGAAGTGAAAGACTAAAATCGGCTCGAAATTTAAAGCGACGACCAATATTTTTCATTTGCGAATTCAAAAGTGCTTATCAAGATACAACTAAAAACATAAAGTTTTTGGCCATATAGTTTTTGAGTTACCAACTTTTTTCACATTTTTGGTCATAGTGATTTAGTTTACGAATACGATCTTAATATTAATAGTGCACTAGAAAGCCTTAAATAGGCTTTCTAACGACATATCGCTTGTTATCCTACGATAACAATATCATATGAAACCAGCGTCTTCATCTATTTGCGGTCGAGCTGAAGCAGACGGAGCGTTCGAGTCCCCATCAGGGGTCAACCTTCTGGAGCACGCCTAAGCGAAATATTG